TCATAAAGTTTGTCTACACATGTACGCAAGTATGAAACATATATAACAAAGTGATAACACCAGCTTCCAGATGACACAATTGCAGCAGATGAATGGATGAGAAAGGGAAAACTTAATAACAAATAAGAATAATAACTATTAAATATCTATATTGTTGTCATCTATCATTACGAATGCACAAAAGATAACAACCTGCTTGGCACGCACAAAAAAGAGGGAAAACTCGTCATTATTACGTTGTTGTTATATTGCTATAAAATTCGGCATTATTTTAAATTTGTTTACACATACACACACACACACATCACAGCGCTCTCTCATCACTAAGTTAATTAAGGTTGACTTTTACTGACCGACTGATTGACTGATTAACTTGACCAATCGCGAGCTCATCTCATCATAAACCTCAAAACTCATATAAATTACCCTACCACCATCACAATTTAATTTCATTCTAACTAAATACAACCATTCGTCAACTCAGTTTTAGCCCCAAATATTATATAATTATTTTTTATTAATATATGCTTCACTGGCGAAAATAAAATCTACGGGTACTCCAATATATGCACATGCAAGCCCGCCAAGCTCCACATGATTTTTATGTTTACTAAACCTGTTGCTCTTTTCCAAATATGTGCCTTCTTTCATTTAAATTTTTAAGAATTGATTGTGTGTGTTTCAGATTATTGCCCTTTTTCTCTGCGATTCCATTTTTCGATTCATTTGAAGAATTGGAGAAGTGAATTGAAGAATGAGGAATGAATTAATTATAACTATAAGGTAATTGACGATTAATTAATATAGGACACTGCACAATCCTCTAACAACTCGTATGATTTAAAATTCGCGGAAAAAAGGACTTCACTTGCCTTTTTTAGCGAGATCTTCAGGGAAATTTCTAATTTTTAAAAATGATGTTTTTTGTTAAAAATCACGTGTACGATGAAAATTTGCAGCATATTTTGTGACAATAATAAAAATAATAATAAATAATTTCCTTCTTCGTTTTGGTTTTTTTTAAATTTAGAAAAATTCAAAATAATAAATTTTAAAAAATAAACTTGTCACCTACCTAATATCAATATAGTAATTACAGAAAACCCTTTTAAACAGTTTTTAAACATACATTTAACGTATTTTATAAACAAACTCAAAGAAATAAATTATCCAAACACTTAAAGATGAATAAAACCAAGCTTATAAATGAAATAAAACGAATGGACGCA